GATGAAATAAAGTAGACTCTCAGTACATGCCTCTGTGCTTTTCTAATAACATGAAGTTTTTTGGGTGAACAAAGACTTAATACATCAGAAACAAATGGTGTGAAGGAAAAAAAAAGGTAAATTAGTTGTTCAAAGTGTGACATAGGACTGGAGCAGATGATGTGATTTGGGGAATGCAGAGCTTATGGTATGACAGTGTACTGGAAAAGATTGGCTTATTATCCTAACAAAATGAAGTACAAGAGGGCATATGATTCCTTTCTCATTGATTCATCAGGAGACCAGTATGAGGAACAGAAAAGAATTACTTATCTAAGACACCATGTTGGCAGAAGAGCAAAGGAGTATAAACTTGCCATGAATAATGATGGGCTGTAGATTAGGAAAGGACTCTGAGCTATCATTGCAATCCTGTGTTTTGAATGACCTTCCAGTCAGAAGAGAGGCAGAGGAAATAGGAAATTAAAATAATTTCAATGTGTAGTTAGAAAGTGTTCACTTTAGAATCTAAAAATTTATGTTAAAAAGTTACCATAAAACATGGAGTGGGGGATAAAATCTTCACTGTTTTTTGGGGGTGATCTTAAAACCACTGTTTGCTTCTATATTTGGTTAGTTTGGTACCTCACATGAAAATAACTCTTTCAAAATATTGAACTCAAGGCCCCCAGCTGGAAATGCACTTAGGTCTTCTTGGCAGAGGGATAATACAAGCTCCTCAAGGGAACTTTGGAGGTTCATGGACTGCTCCAGCAAGTTAAATTCTGAGTTCTTCATTTCAGCTTCTGCCATGAGTCAGAAGACAGGGGTATTTTGTGTGGAGTCTTGAAGGGTCTGGACTTGTTTAAGGCAGCAAGACTTTTTTTCTGTGTTTAATATGTGAATAATCTTTTGTCACTTGAGTAGATGTTGCAATCTGGTAAGGAACTGGAACACTTGGATATACCTCTAAAAAATGAATAAAATCAATCTTGTTTCTTGTAACTGGTTCGTCAGTGGAAATGGCATCATGCTTAATTTATACTAAGATTTCTTACTGCAGCTTCTATGGTAATAGATGCAAATTATGAAACGTGGACTTTAGCATATTCAAAAAAGGCTGTTTATTCAGTAAATCAAAATATAGGATTTCAGTTTATTTTGTCAGATATTCACAGTCAAATTTTAAATTTTGCTGAAGTTTTTAGGCAGAAGATCATGTTCTGGAAATTTTGTTATGCCATTGAGCTCATCTGATCACTCCAGTAATACTTGCTTTAATTCATGTTGTCTGCCATACACTGAAGCGAGGTGGAGCTGACCTGAGTGTTCATCAGACAACTGTAGGAGCTTTTTACCAGCTTGGGCTTGCATCCTCTCAAGTTTCCTATTTCCTTCATCGCACTAGAGTGAGTATTTTTTGGGATATAATTTGTCAGAACATCTGGATTTCTTTGGCTGCCATTAGCTGCTGCCTTGTTTGGACTGTGGAGTCTGTCTCGGGGATTTTTGAATAGTGCCATTGCAGTGACTAGGCTGAGGTGTTTGGATCTGGGAACACAGGTCCCCATTGCCTGCTCCATGTAAATGAAGAGCCAGAAGAGCTTAGGAATGCTCCAGCTTTAGCTTGCTGACAGAAGCCAGAATTTGCTTTTTGTGAATTTTATTTCACAGTGGAAGAAAGCTGGAAAGAGGAGGCACCACAAGCACTTTGAAGGGTATTTTTACTCTTCAAATTTTGCAGATTGTTCCCAGCATAAAACAGACTTCAACAGGTTCATTCCTGGGAATTATTATGGGGAGGAGGCAAGGCTAACTGGCTGATTGTAACAGCTACAGACTTAAATGTGATTTTCTGCTCTATTTCATTAAAATTATAACTGACCAAATGCTTAGAATATTCAGTACCTATTAAGACTTTAGAAGGCTACTTTGCATCATTGGGCTTTGTTCAAAAAAGCCTGAAAAATGGCAGAAAAAGCCTGTGGCTCATTAGCTTGCTACCAGTGGTCATGGATTGCAAAAATTCAACTGCTTAAAAAAACCCCAGTGGGTCTGTGCCAGTCAGCACTCATCACTGTGGGGCACTGGGATGCCTGAGTGTCCCTGTCACAGTTATACACGTTTTTCTTTGTCACTTTTTATCTGTGGCATAACCTTACGTGACAAAGCTTTCTCTGCAGAAAAAATGCTGTTTCAAATTGGTTAAAAAAATTGAATCCAGTCTCACGCTGTGTGCTGTGTTAAGAAGGTAAATAAACTCTTCCTTCCTTCCATTTTTTTCGTTGCATACACTAAAAACATATTAAAATTATTTAGATTTATGTTAAACTCAGTCTTTGCTTGGGGGATCTCGTGATTCTTCTCTCGTGCCATATCAGTTGCTATACAGCAAGTGATAGGGGCATACATATTTTCCCTACTATCTGTAGTAGGAAATATATATATATATATATATATACACACACAGGCACATATATATATATATATATATATATATATATAAATATTTTGTAAGTTTAAACTAATTAATATATAATAAAAATCATGCAGTTATTATGCAATGTTGCAGTAATTTGATAAATCTTATATTCCCTTTATTAGTTTTCATCTTTAATGAAGTTTTAACATTTATTAGTTTCGCTGCCTATCAGGTTTTCCATTGGAACTGTAGAATCCCACAATACCACGTGCATGTCCATTTTGAAAAGATTTTCTCTTTTGTTTTATATGGACTGTAGGAAAAACTGATTGGTTTTGTGGCAGAACCCCATAACAGTTTTGGCATTTTAGGCTCACCCAGCACAAACACACGAAGCTGCAATTTGTTTGACTGGGAAATTCCAGGGAGTCATAACTCCTGGACTCTGATGTGTTTGGCATTGAAAACTAACTCTACTCTTGTGCATCTTTCACTTGCACGAACCTTCATCACACTGCCCTTTTCCCAGTGGGTTCACAGGCCTCCACTGTGGTGTAAAAAGGTAACTGTGTTGTTCTACACACAAAATTACAGGAATGGATAGATGCCAAAACCTTTGCTGCATTTAGTCCAGGTCACAAGCTGTGTTTCTTGTGTGCCTTTGTGATCTCTTTGTGTCACAAAGGTAAAGCAGTAGTGGTGCTATTCCCTGCAGGCATGGGCTTACCCCGGTTGTGAATGACCTCCCCACTCAGAGGTTTGCATTTTGCACAGGAAAACCTAGAGAGAGTAATGGGAAAACTGAAATTCTAACAGAGTAGTGGAGGTTTGGGAATAAAATCTGACTTTCTGTTTGCTTTTAGATTTTATAGTTGTTCTGGATGGGGCCAGAGGGGAAAAGTTGATTTATGACGTGGTTTTAAAAAGTGTGGCAGTTTGTTTAATCAAGAAATGCGCTGGGAGGATATTTGACCTGTCAAATCCTCTGTATTTATCTCCCATTTTTTCTCTTCCATTTTGTGGACTGGGACTAAAACTGACTCGTTTCTTATGTTTTATAAGTTTTTATGAGCTGACCTGATGTTTATAATGAGGCCTGTGTGAACACCCCATAATGATACCCCAGTAATTGCAGCATTCAGAGAGTTTGTTCGGGAACTCAACCAACAGACAGCCTGATAGTGTTCAGCCTGTACCACCCATGTATGTATTTACATACACATATGTGGCTTCTCTTTTGATAAATGTCAAATAGTAAAACTGCTTCCGAAATTGCAGATATTTGCACACACTTGGATCAAGGCACTAGATTTAATTTCAAACAAAATATACTTTGGGAAGAAGAGAGGTACGGTCTAATGTACAGTCTAATTTAAAGGGGTTAAAACCCAATGAAAACAAATAAACATAGCTGAACCAAAAAGTATTGCAAAATGCAGCAGAAGTTTTTTCTGTATTTTAAGTCCATTTGAAATTCAGGAATATGCTTTTATTATATGGAAGACTCTAGGTTAGTCAGGTGTTGACATCCCTTTCTGCTCCTGTGTTGGGTCAGAAAAGCTGAAATATGTTCTCCTGAATTGATATTTTATCCAGCAAAAGAAGGAATTAATATTCTTTGATTCTAAATTAATGTTGAATTTCCTTGATTTCAGTATGTGTAAAAGAAACATTAGCTTTCTCTTGCTGTGAAATACAACGTAGTCTCATATAAAAACGCATACACTGTTAAAAATATGAACTGCTGTTGGGTTACAAATACGTAAGTAAATTATGAAAAGGAGTGTTAATTCTTACATTATTAGTTTATTTCTCTTGAATAAATAGCCATAATAATAATTAGAAAATATAAATACCTCAGTTGTTGGGCCAGATGTCACTTCTTTGAGGCTGGCACATAGAGCAGCTTTTTAGCATCTTAAAATGACACAGCATTTTTGGTTTGGTGTTGATACTCCATCTTTCTTTTAAGAAACAGATTGCTCTAAGTTATTTCCTCAGCTTCAAAAGGGAAAGATGGGTATCACCAACAAGAAAATGCCAGTAATTTCATTTTCATTCAGGGCGTGAAGCATTTAAAGGTTAATTTTAGATAAAAATATCATGATTGAACATTTTATACTAGCTTTCTGTAGATTTCCAAATGCTTTGGAGTTGCTAATGTATTAGTGTGGAAAATTGAAATGTAAAATTGCATCCATATGAGGACTCCCACAGATTTCTAAAGTATGCTGTCCCTTAATAAATTAATTATAGCATTTTTTTTACTATCTCCAGGCTTTTGTGGAAAAATCAAAGTTCTCACTGTAGGAAATCAAGGGATAAGAGCTGGCTGAGAAAAGCTGTGGTTCTGCTTTGTCAAGTCTTTGTGGTAGCCTTTATATTGGTGCTTTATAACAACATGTATTTAGAATAACAAACAGACAATTAAATTATCTTTACATTAAAGGAGTGTTTCTTTTTGTGCACTAAGTTGCAGCTAGAATAGAAGAATTGAGGGTCACTTTTGAGGGCATGGGAAAAAAAATGAGTCTTTTGCAGAGAGATTTACAGAAGGAGTTTGATTATTTCTTGCCTTTTTTTCCCCTCCCTTCTCTCAGGTCCACACCAGTGTCCTACCTGACCACAAGGAACCAAGAGCAGATGTTGGGGTAAGAAATCATTTTCAGTAATTGATTTTTTTTTTTTCCATCTCATTGGAAGGCACTAACACTCAGTGCTCAACAGGAGCTGAAAAGCTTTTTTAATAGCGAAAGTTTTTGGTGGAATGAATAAAATAATCAAGGCAGGAGTGGCAGTCTCATGGATTGAAGTCATCCCATTCACATCTTTTTGAAAACCTCTTTCAACTGAAGCTATCCTGAGACCAGCATAACCCTGTAAAGTCCTTGCTAATATCAAGCAAGCAGTCTGGATGGGAAGTCATTTTCTGAGAGGGCTAAAACCTCATGGATAATATGGGCCCCTGGTGGGAGTGGGAAAGGTTGGTCCTGCTCGAGCTGAGTAGAAGAACAAAGCTCACCTGGTGCAGGTGTCAGATCTGTCTGCAAATATGGAAAATGCCTGGAGGCTTCAATTTTTTAGCCTAAGGGTTTGACTTTTCTGCCTTACAAGGGCTTCCTTGGCATGGTTTTCAAGACTTCAGCTAGTGTTTGAAAAACCTGTAGCTTGGCAGCAAGTTCAATCTTAGTGAAATAATCAGTGTGTTTTAGCTTTCCATATAGCTATTATAGAGACTTTTCTCTTTGGCTAGTTGAGATTATTCATCAAACTACTCAAGGCGAGTGTCTTTAGATTTGTGTCTGGAACACTAGCAAAATTCCGAAGGAGCATTACTCTGCGATTAGGATTACAGCACAAATTTTGTTCTAAAGCCTACTTTTCAAGCCTTTCCAAGTCATGTGGGCAAAGTTAAATTGGTTTGTAGACTGCCAGTTCAGGCCCCAGGGTGGACTATTGGTATCTGAATCAGTATAGAAAAAGTATTCTCCAGTTTGATATTAGACCCCTTGAACATTAGCATAACTCTCTTAATTTGGGTCATGGGATCATTTGAAATTTTATTTGATTTTGCACATAGCTCTGTGCTGTCAAGCAAAGAATTTCTTTTTTTCTAAATAAGCATATGAATATGAAACAGAGAACTAAGTAGAACATTTTAAGCCGATAAAATCATTCACCTTTAATTTCATGACACAGAAGAAGTAGATCTGATGCTCAGACATGTTTAGTGGGTACAATGACCAAAGCTCTTTGGCTTTATGAGAGAGCAGTGTAGTTGTCTCTTGGCCCTGGTCACTTGAGGATTCTGACTTAGGATTCTTAAATATATTTATGGTTCTATTTTGCTGCAGAAAGAAGCCCCAGGTGACCAAACCTTATATCAGTTTCATTCCAAATAGCCCTCTTCCCCTTTCCAAGCAGTCAGGTTTCAAATACAAACACTCAAATGTCATGAAATGCCAGAATAAAGGCTGCTGTGGAGAGACAGTGCTGTGGAATGCGTTCTTGCAGCATGGAGAAGGATATGCTCTTGGAAGAAGATGAATAATCTGGGCTAAGTGTGTGTGACCACAGAGTTTTAGTGTGGAAACACTCTCACACTGACTCATCCAAAGGAAGACAGAACCACCTGTGTGTTCACTCCAGCAAGGCTGTGCATCACCATGTGTTGCACCTGGATGTCTTTTTTTGTAGAAGTGCCTTTAATTTTGGCATTGAAAACTAACTGTGCTCTTTGCTTGTGTGGCTGTGTTATTTTTCTTCCTTTCTTCCTGTTCATCGCTTCCCAAATTCAATGTTTTTCCAGCCTGCCCTAGACACTCGTGTCCTTGTTCCATTGCTGCTTACATGCTGCTTAGGAAATCTAAGGCTGTGCCATTTATGGGAACAAGCCTTACCTCATGACTCAGTTTATTGAACTGCAGACATGCAGTTTGCAGTTTACTAACTGCACTGTGGGTGCTTGCCCAATTTCAGAGTTGGTGTTTGAACTGTACGTTGTGTATGGAAGAAAACTTATCTTAGTGTAAAGCTTTATTGTTTGCATTCAAGCACACAACATCCTGCTGGCTTTCCTGAAAGAAAGCAGGCTGAAGGTTTGTTTTTTTTTTTACCAGAGAAGTAACTCTTCTCAGCAGTGACAAATTCTTTTCTGTTTTCCTTGAAGAGAACATTGCTCTCTGTAGGCAGCCTCTGTTGACTCAGAGCAACTTGATTCTTCTTTCATTTGTATAGCCAAGAATGTATATAATTTAGCCTGGAATTCTAATTTGCCATTCCAACAGTAAACTTAGTGTTATGTAAGAAAAACCAAACTTTGTGCCCTTCTTATTTTTTTTTGCTAAAAATTAAACATAATGTCATGATCTTCTTACAATTTATTTAGAGCAAGTGATGTTGTGTTGTACATTTGAAAGATAAATTGGTAGAAGATGGCTGTTAGTTTCTTGCCCATTGTTCCCAAGGCAAGAATACTACTGCTGGCCAAATTGACAAAATGGGATCTCAGCAGGATATGAGCAGAGGTTAAAAAATAGCCCAAGTGCAAGAGAAGATTTAACCCTTTTTCCTCTTTGTACTTTGTTATGCGTGAAGAGTGATTTTTATAGAAGAAAAAGATACAGTGGTGTAGCCTAATTTAACTTTAGGCATTCTAGTTACATTACCACATTTCTCTGCAATTTTAATGCAGTAAATAAGTTCACCTTACAATGGAAATAGAGGAAAACACTACTTAAAACATTGCCAAGAACTAGAGAAATAAAACATTTCTATTAATAAACTTGTGCTGAACTCAATTTAAGAATGCCTTCCTAGCACATACATTCATATTTTGAATACGTGGATGGTAGTGCCAATGGCTTGAGGAAAAACCATAACAAGAACAACTTTGGTATAACACTGAAAACTTAGCACTTCTTGTAATCCAGAAATTAGAAAAATAGGAAGGAACAGATGCAAAATGCAAATACTGGTACTGAATGAAAATCTTCCTGTGGCTGTACATCTTACAACCTGTTATTTTGTCAGGTTGTTAGACTGTTCTTAATGGAAATGAGAAAGGTTCCTGCCCATAAAACCAAAGTTTTTAACAGTTTACTGATAATCATGCTGCACAAAAAAAATTCTAGAGGATTAAGTATCAAACTGTTATATTGAAATGCAATATTTTTCTTTGTAGCAAAGAAAGATTTTCAAGTGTGTGAGCAAAAGAAATAACAAAAATGAATGAATATGTTATCTTTTCTTTCTGCTTTGATTTGTAGCGAAGCTTCCTGGGCTGTGCAACTTTTAGAGTGGGTGATCTGGTAAAGTCAAAGGAGCAGCAGTTGACCCTCACCCTCAGGTAAGTGTTGTAAATCAGGGTTTTTCTAAGTACTAACCTTTGGCATTTCTCATCCAAAGAATGGCAGCAGAGATAGGGAAGGGTCTGCAGCACGAGTCGAACAAGGAATGGCTGAGGGAGCTGGCATGTTCATCCTGCAGAAAAGGAGGCTCAGCCAGACCCTGTCACCCTCCACAGTTAACTGAAAGGCCATGTTGAGAAATGCAGGTTGGTCTCTTCTCCCAAGAGGTAGCAAGTGAGCTTCCCATGTGCCAGATTAGAAAAGGTCATTTTATACCATGATAACCTATGGAAGAATTGTAGAGAACTTGGCATAGGGAATATTCATTCAAAGTTTCCTTTAGAAAGGAGCATAAAATTGTCAGTTTTGTTTGGTGTGTGTGGTTTAAAGAATTAGCAGTGTACAGGTTTTTTTAGGCACGTTTAAAGAAGGTGGTCCTAATTATTGAAGGTGTCTCCCACATGAAAATGCTTGTGGTCTCCTGAACTCGTTGTATGCAGCTACACTGAGACTGCAGGGGGTGTGATACAGAACTCTAATCAGTGACAGGGTACAGACCTAGGTTGATGAACTCCAGCTTAGTGATCGTAAGAATCTGTTCTTACAGGAATTCAAGTTGTCTTCAGCTCTTTGGGATAAATTTGGTTTCCGTAACTGACATATTGAAAATTTGATCTGGAAGATTGTCTCCAACAGGTGGCACAGTAATTGACAGAACGGAAAGCTTCGGTTTCAGAGTAAATATTTTGTATCTCAGCCATCCAATTTGTAAGCAAAAAGTTAAGATGGAAAACTCATAAGAAATAGATGAAAAAATTGGTTTTCATTAATATTTTTAGTCTTGGTTGTCCTCTTTGTTCAGCTAACACTAAAATACAAATGTACCAATGAAATTTAATTTGCAGACACATTAAATGGTAGGGTTTAGTCAGTTGGATATTTTTTAAGAAAAACATCCTAACCTTTCAAAAGTGGGTTTGTTTTCTGGTTATGACTATTGGGCAGCAGAATGTCAGTAGAAATGATCCACATTTCTTTGATGGCAATTTAACCAGAGCAGTCTACTTATTTAAGCTTGCTTTCCTCTAATTACCCTGCAATATTAGTACCTCTCAGGAGGATAGAGGATATATCAAGGGACTTGTCAGAGCAATAAATTCTATTTAATTCTTGTTGATATTCTTTGGATAGGAGTTTATCAGGGCATGCCTGTGATTGAGATACTCCTTTGTTAGATTTAAAGTAGAGATTTAAGGACCCAGAAATAGCTCTGTGGTGTGCCCTGTAAAGATTGGTGTAATTATAGAATCTGCTTAATTTTTAACTGAGTTTTGTTTTTCTTTTCCTTTTTTTTAGTTATGTTTTTCCTTTATCTTTCTGAGGTACAATGGAACAATATAAAAGTGTTTTCAAAGGAGCATTCTTGTGTTTTTCTGTTATTTTGTGGAGAGCTGGCTTGTGTCTACAAATTCTTACTGCTGACACACAGTGCTCTACTTCTCTGTTTTCCTACCATTGTGCCCTAATAGTGATTAGGGACACAAGTTACAAAACCTCTGCAAAAGAAGTTTTTATTTTGATTGTCCTTTCTTCTCCATAAAGGTGTCCTAAACTGGTGGCTGAGTGTTTCTGGTAGATCTATGCAGTAATCATCAAAACACAAAAAGATTGATTTGCAGAATTACTTCAGTGTACACAACAGGTGTTGGGAGAGGAATTTAGTTATTAGAGATTTGGGATTGCAGTTTTCAATATGGAATTTATAAGAAGAGAGAGGTTTTCTATAGACTTGCATGTTTCATTTTGCAGTGATAACGCAATGTCACTTGCTTCCAGCTTTCTCATACAGTTGTGATGATGAATGGCAAAAAATGGGCTGTTGAATGCAACAGAAGTATTTTTCAGTAGGAGAATGTTTCTTAATATTGAGTGTATGATACAGTGTGTCTGATGAAAAAAATAAAATCACACTTTTTTTTTTCCTTTCTAAATAAGAGCTAGGTATACTGGTTGCTAATTTAGCAATAAAAGCTGATTTTTTTTATTTTTTTTTTTTTAGAAGATTGGAGGCAAATGCCTGCTGTTCTCAGTCCATCTTGTTCACTTACTTTTCCATCACTAGCTTGTTACCTTTTTTCTCCCTGGATGCCTTGGTCAGCATTTTATGGCCAGAAGGAGTAAGGTGGGCACAGATTCCTGCTGCTCGTGGTGTTACTGGCTATCTCCTTCCCTCACATTTGGGGGAACTAATACTGACCTGGGGATCCTTAAGGACCTGGGATAGTAGAGAAATCTGTTTCAAATGCAGGTGCTCTGCTGACAGGTATCAGATGAGTGCTGATCCTTGTCCCAGGGTGCCAAAAAATATCAGCAATTTTCCATCTCCATAAGCCAGGTGGGTTTTGTCCCGTGTATGGGCTTCTTATGTTGATGCTGAGTTTATTCTCTTGGCCAGATTCCCCATCCCAACTCGCCCTAAGCAGGTTGTCAAGGTGCAGTCCTTTGTTTTGTGGGGATGTGTCTCCTCACTCATGACTGAAAGCAATTTGGTGCAGGGACCGTCTTCACTGCACCGTGTGAGTGCAGAGTGCCCTTCTCAGCTTTATTAAACTACAGCAAATAAGCTGATCTCATTCTAATGCATTGTGAAGTATCCTAAAACCAATTGATTCCTTATCTGGTGCTGTGTTGAACAGTGTGTCTGTGTGAGACTTTTTACATCTCTACAAGCAAAGGACATGAGGTGTATACATAATGTGTGTGTGTGCTCAATACTGTTAGTGCAAAGTAAAATTATGCAGGGTTTTATCCTACTAAGGTATGATCACTAAGCTTTTTTTTTTTTTTCCCACTCCGTCACTTCTGTTTCTCTTTTTAAATTTTCTTTCAAATGAAATTTTAATCTCATGGTATTGCTGGAAAGTTTGAAATGCGTGTTTTCAAGTAGCTGAAGACTCTCAAGCACTGCTGGTGTTTTAAAATCAGTCTGACAGTTTTACCCTGGGCATTTACAGAGCTCTTTGTTGATTTGTATGCCTGTAGCATTCAAAAGAAACTTTGGGTTTGGGATTTGTTGATTTTGTTGTTGTTGCCTTTTTCGTTAAAATGTGTCTTCGTATTTCTGTGTGGGAAGATAAGAACTGGAGAAAGGAGTGCAACTACAGTGCAACAAGTCCCACTGTTTAGTTTTATTGTGTTGCATTACCTTCTCTTACAGGTAACACCTGTAACAGATTGTAGTATTAAATATGTATTAGACCAGAACAGGAGTGATTTTGAGAAGAAAATAATAATAAAAAAATATATAAAAGTGGAATTATATCAATCACTGTTTTTAAACCCATACAAAATACATATTGCTCCTTGTGCAGGCAAACAGTGCAATGCTCGCTATCATACTGAGGCCAAACTTTTAATAATAGCACCAAGGGAAATATTTAGGATTCTAAAGAACAGGAGACAAGGATGAGAAAGTGTAGTTAGCATTTCCATTTTACTGGAGCAACAGGCCCTGTTGGTTTGGATCAGTTCATTTGCTTGGCACTTTGATCGGAACACCTTAAGCTCCTGAAAAATTGTCAGTCTCATAACCACACACTTTGGCTTCTAAAGATATGTGATTTGCTGACATCTGCTGTATTCCCTTTCTGCTGGGGATGCTGCAGTGCATTTGTTGACAGAGCCTAGTTTGGGTGCTGGTTTGACACAAGAAGGAGCAGTCAAGCCACACGGCTGTAGCAACTCCAGGGAAAGTTCTTCATTCAGAAGGCCCTTTCAATATTATTATGTATTTCTGCTCATAATTTGGACACTGAACCCTTACTGCTTTTCTTCTGGATACTTCTTAAATTAATACAGGCTTCTTCAATTGCAAAAATATCTGGAACTGGTTCATTTTTAATAGTCTCTTTATTGTCAGTAATTAATTTGGCTTAGAGCAGATGAAGTTTTACACATGTAAAATATGAAGAATTATGTTTATTTTGCAAGGTTTTATAGAAGACCAGATTTGTGTAGTTGCAAGATGAGTGTATTCTACTGAGTGCATAGTAAAGCCTAATGGTTTTCAAGGAAGATAATTATTTAATTTGAAAGCTTGGGGGTAACTATTTTTTGAGACTTTACTGTACGAGCTGAACTTGTTTAATGGGTCCCTTCCAACTCAGCATATTCAATAATTCTGTGGTTTAATGATTTTATGACATTGAAGTTTTCTATGTATTCTTTTTTCTTGATTCATCACTCTTCATTTCCACTGCTCAGAAAAGACACAGTATTGCCCCACACGTATTTGTTTTGATTCTCCTTCCTCGCTGTGTTTTTGTAATTGTGCTGAACTTATTCTCGTCATTTCCTTTTTGCCTATTTTTGCTTGGTGCCTTTTGTTACTCTTTCCTCATTATTATGAAACTATCAGTTACTCTTCTTTCCTTCCTTTAAAAAAAAAAAATCTAGCTGTTCAGAAGAAGTCAGGGAGATAAACTTGGTGCTGTGCTGCCAGTGAAAGCTGAAAAAGCATTTGGTATCTTTCAGGAGTTTAAATCCTTGTTTCTTCCTAAAGGAAGTCAGCAATGCTCTTCCCTCGGTGATGTACATCTAAATTATTTGTTTTTGATTAATTGAAAGTAAACTATTTATGGGGATGATAATGAAGGAATTCACCTGTAACTATACTACCATTCCCATATAGTTCAAGAAATGGGATGGATTCTGAATAATTTCTCTGTGGAGGGATTACAAAGGGAAACGTGATATTCAGATTAGCTTCACTGTTTTGGTTTTGCAGGGATTCTGTTAATACACTCTGTCCTTTCTTTGCAGATTGTTAGGAAACAAAGCCATGTACTCTGCATTGGGATTGCAGATCCTAAGTGGAATATTGGTGCAGTGTTACAGCCCTTTATCCAATGGTCCACAAAGAGGATAAGGTCTAGAATGAGAACCTGGCAGTGTTCATGGATTCATGCACCATTCATAGCACTTACCTGTCCTCAGTGTTGTGATGAGAGCTTTCATTGTCCTGAAGAAGTTGCCTCATTGTTGTTAACATTTGGTTTGTGATGGTAAATAGCCAGCTCAGTAGCGGTGGCTGCACTTTACAGAATGGAGAGGGCACTAAATATTTACTGATGTTATTCTAATTGAAAGGATTTGATGCTGCAAGTGACCCGGTGTCATGGGTTGGTTTTTTTCCCAGGACATCTGATGGTGGAAAGACAGTTGGTACCATTGAAGTCAATCTTATGAAGATGGGAGAGCTGGATGAGGGGGAAACAGACCACATCACAGCAGATGCTCAGGATCAAAAGGTAGAAACTCAGTTTATTGCACAAAGTTAATTAGAATGATCTGTTGTACCAGATGTCTAAAATACTAATTACCAAATTGGGTTAAGAACTTAAAACAAAATTTGTGGCGCAAGTGCTGTGTAAACTTATCTCCCTCATCCAAAAAAACCAAATTCATGAAGATGTACAGAGTAATATCCTAACCTGAGTTTCCTAGGCCCTCTCCTTCTTGAAGAAAAAAATAGCTTATTTTTATCTCAACTGAATATATTTGATCACTTCTGATAAAAACTGTCCAGAGAGATGCCATAAATACAGCTTCTTTTTTCCTTGGACAGCTGGTCTGGTTTCTGCCCTTGAAGTCCTGTTTATGTTGATTTTTATGTGCAATCTGTGCCCACAATACTGAGAAGCTGGAAGAATGACAGACAGGCAAAGCAAAGAAGAGGTAAATTCCCTTGCAAAGGGGCAGGTTCATCTGCATTAAATGGGAGCACACAATTTTTGCAGCCAGAATACAACAGTTCACTGCTTAACACTGTGGTGTATCCTGTTCTTCCTGAATAAAAGGAAATATTGCTACAGGGAATGCAGGATTTTTTTGTTTGGAAGTTACATATAAAACTATTTTTTGAGCAGAGGACATTATTTTCAGTATCTTTTCTGCATAGCAAAATCAGTCTGAGGGTAAATTTCACACTTTTTTTTCACTGCTTATCTCAGAGAACTTCAATGCCTTAGATGAGTGTGACCAGTTCCAAAAAAGCAACAAATGCTGTGAAATCTTCCTGACTTTGACCCGTAAAACTTGCACAATATAGGCAACATGAGCTGTTTTTTTCAGCCTTCTCTTTTATTTGGCTTTTCTTCCACTGCAGAATGTGGAATGAGACTCCTTGCAGTTATTGGAGATGTAGTTACTGAGCTCTGTTGGGCCTGGGGGACACAGAAGGCTTTAATAGCAGCTTTCTAGGGGTTTCTAATACTTGTAAAGAGAGACCAGACTCATGACCAATGTATGGTCTTTAAAGGAGTCCTTGGTTTGTACAAATCAGTGGCAACACAGTCTTGGATTATATGTTGATAGTGAGGATGCAATTGTGAGAATGGTGAGTCATTGAATTAATAAAAAATAAATAAGTTTTGAACTGGTGAATCACAAAATCTGAGCACATTTTAAGGACTTTTTTGTGCTTCCTGCTTTTCCCTTGTTTAAAAATTAATGAAGGGTTTTCTTGCACTGTGCATGTGAAAACTGCTTTGTCTAAAGAAACCTCTTCGAAAGTATGGAACTTGTCAAAAATGGTTTTAAACTAAAGTGCCTTATTTTTATAGTAAAACGTATTAAGCTAAACTATTACTATCTCTCAACATTTCTGCCATAATACTGGTAGGAAACATTTCTGTTTTGTTATGGAACAGCTGATCATATTTTTTTCATTTTCTTGGCTATAATTCTGATTGTGTTTCAGTATCTTGGAACAGAAATATAAAGAAAAATGTAAATTCTAAGTAAGACTTTGGAAGTTTGTATTATTATCACTCATGGTTTTCAGCCTACCTTTTATAAACTGCCATGGATTTATCTCAGACCCCCTGAATGTGTCACATCTGTATTGTATTTTTTTGCAGTGTGCATTGGTTCGTGAGTGTACAGCCACTGAGGGCATAAGTGGGAAGGACAACCTGCCTTCCTTAAATGCAGGTAAGAATTCCAATATCTGTAAGAGACAGCTCTTGCAACTCCACCTCTGGTCCTGTAGAAATCACACAGATTCGTGGCAGAGCTCATCAATGTCTCTTCAAATGCTGCACAGATGTTCAAGTTCAATATTTTAGTGTTTTATACATGTTTGGCATTATCATTTCACGGAGAAGTTTGAATAAGTGTGTGTCAATTGCGCTTTCTGAAGCAGTGCTGAAATCTCCATCTCCTGCATCTTTACTGTTCAGTGATTTTCAGTGACTAAAAATCACTGTCAGTGACTTCCATGGGCATGGAATTACCATCATTAGTTTCTGTTGTGTCATTGCACGGCATTCTGTAAAATAATTCTGCATTATTTGTAAGTGAATACCCAGGACAATCAATCTCTCTCATTCATAACTGGTGAAGTGGCAGTTTCAGATTGATCTGGAAACTGTCTGTCCTAGAATGAAGGGAGCTGTTGGCAAGGCATTCTCAATTCTAGGCCAGCTTGGGCTTGAGTGCATGGTGTTAAACTAGATCTGTTTTTCTTTCATTATCTGAGGAGTATTACATGCTGATGTGCTGTGCCATAAAACCTTTATTAGCCCGAGTTTATGAATCTCCATTACTCGGCAATAACAATGTCACAAATAAGTTATATGGGTCATCTAAAACCACAGCACTGTCAAGAATTCTGTGTTTGCTACATACCGTTGAGGAGGAATGTTACCAAACTTTTACAACTTTTTAAAATCTTTCTTGAAACTTTTTAATCTGATTTCTCTGATAGGGCAGACTTTCTGAATCTGCTTTGCAGTCTGAAGGAAGCCCTAAAAACTGCCAAAAATTAAGTTCTTCCATATGTGTGTGAATATTGCATTTTTTTTCTGTGAGTTGTTGAGATTAGATCAGAATCAGAAAAAATATGTTCTAGAGAAATACCATTTATTTTCATCAATTCAAAGTGAGAAAGATGTTAATTGAGAATTTCTGAATGTGCCGGAGCTACATCCGGCTCCAGAAATTCCTGAACTGGAAATAGCTGGAGGCATGGAGGGTATCCTGTGTCTCCAGGTGTGTATTTATGGCTTTTCTTGGGCACAAGATACAGAGGCCAGGTGAAGGATTTCATCTAGCCCAGTGCAGTTCTTTGGTTGTGATTCTGTATGTCATCCAGATTAGTGAGACTTGAAGAAATGACATTTCTGCCAGAGAACGATGCTGATTCACAACAGATTGTTTTCTGTTTGTTGCCTCCCTTGTATAGGTCTGATTGGGGTTTTTTGTTGACTTCTTTTGTATAGGAAAATGCTGTAGGTTGTGAATATGTTTTGTTGGAACTTCCAAGGTAGATGTCAGTTTTAGGAATATTGAAGTCTCGATCAATTTGTCAAGAATATTTCCATGTGATTCTACAGTGTATCTAGGCAGCGTTTTCACATTTGTTATTGTCATATACAAACACAATATAAAACCAAAGCCCACCCAACACTACTCGGGTTTATAAAGTTATAAAGTCAAACACACCTTGAAGAGCTTTTTTTTTTTTTTTTTTTTTGTCATTTTTTGGGTTGTCAGGCTTTTTTTAAAGAATTGAGGGGAAAGAGGTGCATATGCAAGAAATGACAGCATGCAGGCTATTGGGAAGAGTTTGCACTCACAGGAAGTTTTTCTCAGATAAATAATTAGTCTTCAGTCTGTTTCCTGTATTTGTGACTTTCTCTTCTCGTGCAGCATCACCTCCACTTTCCTGCTGACATGCTGTGCTCATACAGAACTGCCCCCAGAACAGTATGTTTTCCATATACATTCATATTTAGTTGACGTGTATGCTGCTGTAAAGCTTTCTGGTATTTTCTTGTTGTTTATCAGGCCTTCAAAATGATGAAACTGAAAAAAAAAGCTGCCTCTGTGAATCCTTAAGCTTGTAGGCATAGAAGCATGCTGGCATTCTTGTGAAATTTAAATCCTAGGATAGGGAACTCTCAGCCCTCCAGTGAGTTATGAGATGCTTGTTGAGCGAGTGGGAATAAGCAGTGTGTTTCAGAGCCTTATCACTATTGCTTCTATACCTCCAGAGACTGAATTTACGTCTCAAAATTCAGTTACTTATTTATAATGCTGGAGAGTTTGCCAGTTGTTTACATGTAAACAAATTGCATTCTAAATTAAAAAAGAAAGATAAGAAAAGTAATTGAAATTAAGCAAAATTAGGAAAGCTTTAATTATTATTCCTGAGGTAATACACATCATATTCCTATGCTACAAAGAAAGATATAAATAGGAACACTGTTAGCAAATTAATATATGGCAAAGATATGCTTTGATCTGTGTTCAATAGGGAATGAAAATAAAACCAGAGTATTCAATCTTTTATTATTTTTATTGTACTTTCAGGGGAAGCAATGTGAAGGATATTGCATGGAATAAAAAGCACAGAGGTTCTTCATATTAAAAATGACAATGTCCAAAAATATTCATGGGTAAATATATGGCATTGGCTTTCAGGCTTGATGCTGTGGAGAAAAGCTTTTAAAACAGAGTTTTCTCTTTTTTAACCACTGCAGTTCATGTGGATTTTGGGTTTTCTTCAATGCCTCTCATGATCACTGTCTGAGTACAGCAAGGATTATCTTTATGAAACTTCCACTCATTTTAATCACTACTTTTTATGAAAACCAATTCTAGTCTCACCCTTCTTATTGTACATGCCCTCTAGAATTTGGTTCTAGACAACTTGTTACAGGTAGAAATTAATTATTGTTGCAGTTGGAGGGGAAGATACTTCTGAGATTTTTATGGAGTTGCATGCCTTCAGTAGTTCTGTTTATAAGGAAAAAACATCAAGTACTTATGCAGCTTTTATTGGCCTTAAATCTTAAGCTTTAGCAATACTGCATATTGGGATTATTTGGGAAAAATGCCCAGGCTTTTTTTGACTTTGTAAATGAAATTTTCTTCTTAAACCCATGGATTTGACCATTTAAAAAACTTACAACACACTTGAGATTATCCCCATCTGAAAATTCAGACCTGAATCAAAGACCTGAAGATGAAGCCAGTACCGGGAGAGGAGTTTAATAATTCTAGCCACAATAAAAGTCACAACTTTGAATCCATATTTTTAGTGTTCTTTGTCCCTTGGTGCAGTTGTGATGGGTTTTCTGGGCTTTGTTTTACTTTGTGATGGTGGCAACATTGGGGAGATGGGAGGAAAGAGATTTTTCAGATACATATTTGCATTAGGTTCTCACAGATTAATGTGCATTTTTCAGTGTAGTCGATTCTGAGTGT